GTGGGTGGGTGGGTGGGGGTGGGGGTGTGGTTGGGTGGGTGGGTGGGGTCGGTGGGTCGGCGGGTCGGTCGGTCGGTGGGTGGGTGGGCGGGTGGGTGGGTGGCTTGGCGGTTTTGGGTTTACTGTATCGGGGAGGTGTCGTCACTACGGCTCATACCCACAACACTCCAATCCTAAAGGGTAAAACCCCAAGCCGCGCAAGCCTTAATCCAAAATCGCACATTTGCGCAAACTCCTGGCCGGTCTTGTCGAAAAGTATCACGGTCGGTAGGCCGCGGATGCCGAGCCTCTGCTACGCTCGCTTTGTGTGGCTCACCGTGCTGTTTTCGAGCCTACAGTACCATACAACTTCTTGGGGGCCGCAGACAGGAGCGACACAGATCAAGGCTTGGTGCAGTCGACTGGGTGTTCGGAGTCGTTGCAAGTCAACCAGCAGACTTGCACGCAGGTGAAGCGAATGATTACAGAAATCGCGGATGCACTGTCTGCGATCTATTCTCGCAAGTCCTTTCAGTCAGTAGCTCTCACGACTTCTAAGCGACTGAAAAAACAGAGTGGGAGGTATTGGTCGTCTCAGTAGCAGTAGCAGCAACAACCGATCGAAACAGCTCGAGCATGCTGCGCATGGTCCTCGTCTGCTTGACCTCCGTGCAACAGCCAGATCGCTCGAGCCAGATGTCTGACGCGAAAGGCGACATTGAAATTGCAATGTCGTTGCTTTGCTGATCTGAGGAGTCCAAGTTCTCGGTGGTTCAACGGAGCCTTGCCCAAGCAGTTAGGACACGTATGAAAGATAAAACTGAAGAGATGCTGATGAGCAGCTGCAGCTATAACGAACAGCAGCGCCCTGACGTCTAACCAAGGCAAGCTGCTCATCTGACACATCGCTTTCTTCGTCGGAATCTAACTTGGCCATCAGCACCTCTCAGGGTGCACTGTTGATCTTCGGCTTTGCTGGGACGAACAAGCAGTGGCTTGCCGTCAGTCATCCGCGTCAGGGCCAGTCACTGGGTTGCTGTTAAGGAACTAAGTTTAAGGACATGTAGCAAGAACTAACAGGGTTACCTTACTTTAAGAACTTAACTTTGCACTCTCACAACCCGGACAATCCGGGCGAGGTCCATCGAGCGTAGTCGGCGTGAGACTATGCCTTATTTTGAGTTCCTTAACAGCAGCCCAGTTTATTCTCGAAAGCTAGTCCATTTGCAATTTTGGCTCGCGGTGCAGCTTTGCTTTCAGGCTTCAATGCGGAAAACAGAAACACAGGGCAAACCGAACGCCCCGAAACTGAAATCTGCTAAACACAGAATGCACAATCACAACACGCGCAGGACATCGCAATTCAAACTTTTGCAGCGATTGACCCTGAACGTGTGCAAAGGCTTCGCAGTCATAATGTCATAAAGTACGGCCACAGATCTGCGACTGTCGGCGCGAGTGTGCGAACTCCGATTTAACACATGTTACCGTCTGCATGCTCGGCATCTAGGTACGACATAGTGCTCCTTGGCGTTGTGACTTTGTCCTTTGACAGGTACCAAAGCCCTCGAACCCTCAAATCCTCAGCACCAAAAAACTCGAATCCAAAGAACAAAGATGCTAAACACCCACACCTTCAAGTCCAAAGGCCCAAAGTCCTAAACACAAAACTGAAAATACCTCAATCCCACGCACCAAAGCCTCTCAACATCCAAAATCCGTAAGCCCAAACAAACTCCCCGAATCGAAGTCGCACCTTGAAGAACCCACTTAAAGCCTTCTCCCCCGCCCCCCCCCCCCCCCCCNNCCCCCCCCCCCCCCCCCCCCGCGGGGAACCCCTAGAATCGGAGCCGCCTTGCTACCCGCTCTGACAGCTGCCTTTCCCATCTCTGGCTCCATAAACCTAAGGGTTTTTTTAGCTAAGACGTTTAAAATTTAGGGTTTCGGGGTGTTGGATGCCGAGGTAGGGGTTCGGATTCGGATTTAGGGTTCCGCTGTCGCCACTCACTCTCGGAAAATCCAGCTCAGGCATTGCTATTTTGGGGCGTAGGGTCTAGAGGTTGAGGATGGCTGTGGGACAAGTAGACCTTCAGAACCGTAAATATTTGAGCTTAGAAACCCTCCATGAAGCTTTCAGGTGGCTGGCTTGCAAAGGCCTCTGGGCCTCGTAGCTACGCAGCTCGTCTCCAAGAACATGCCGACGTGCGGAACTTGAAGGAATGGAGAGTTGCCGAGTTGATGACTTGTCTTCATCCTGCACCCTAAACCCTAAATGGCTTGTCTTCATGCTTGAGTTTGAAAGCTTTACTGTTCTTGTCTATAGAGCCATTCGGCTTCAAAGCGCCAGGGCTTTTGCCCGGGCAGAATCCTGATGCTATGACTGTCTGTTGCCTATAGTCTCCATTATAGTTCCTTTTGGGGGTTACCTTTTGGGTTCCTTAATATAATATTGGTTAAACCAAAAAAAGGAACTACAACGGAGACTATAGGTGGTATTCGCCATGTGTGCATGGCAACTGAATTACTACGGCGATTACAAGTCGAAGGTGCGGGAAGGCCTGGTTGCGGCTGTCCGAATACCACGCACTGCTTTCCTATTCACCGCCAGCCGCTCTGAACCAAGGAAAAGCAGCTTCGAACTCAAGTTATTGAACACCGAATCTTGCAGACTTGTCGTCCCTCTTCCCAACAAGCTGAGGTCAAAGCTTGCATGGCCCGCACCAGGTAGCATACCTCGCTCGATGCTGTGGAAGAGCAGACTTGGGTGAGATGTAAACAAATATGTAGGCATCTACTACGATTAGGAGCTGCAACTTCTGGAAGCATGCTCGCAACGACGCAGTTTCTTGGGTATTCAACGTCCAACGGGGTGAATCCAGTCTTGAACTCCATTGTTCATCAGCTCTGCAGAATTCAGGCTCCAACATCAAACACCCAGCGGCCCAAGGCGCTTCACGCTGAAGCCTAAACCTTCCCAGGCCCCCCGAACCCTCAATCCTAAACTCTTGCGGGTCCGAAACCGTGAAAGACCAAGTCAAGGCTCTGAAGCCTCTGAAGTTTTACGCATTCGTCGCTTTTTCCGGCGAACCTCTCCCCAATGTCGGCACTCAAAACCCTAAACCCTAGACTCTAAACCCTAAACAATACAGAAACCCGGAGCTCTTCTGCAGCCCTTCAGACCCCGGACCTCAACCGTCGATCCAGAGTCAACTCAGCGCGTCAATATAGTATAATGAATATGTTATGGCATAAGTAATATAATATAGTATATAGAACAATACAGCCATTTATATTTTTGTATATTTTGTATGTGATAATATGTAATCGTGGATAGTACATTATACAAGTCTGTCCTGTCCGTTCGAACATTCCCCGCCTCCTCCTCCCCTGCCCCTATGTCGTAGCGAGGCACACATCCAGCAGAAGTGGCGCTGAAGGCGACGCAAGGATTTCGCCTCCAACCCCATGGCTTTGCATGTAGTTGCAATACCCAGGATTAAGCCCGAAGCCCTCGGTACGAGCGGAATTGCGACTGCAGTCGTTCAGTCGTCGTAGTGGTCGCCGGTGCCACCGTCAGAAGCATGCAGCAACCGCAGGCAGTAGCACCTACCACTATCATCAATATCAGCACCGCCGTCATCGTCATCAACACCATCAACACCAGCATGACCGTCACCATCCATTTCTCGACATGTCGTTGACCGTCCGAAGGACTCAAGGACCGCAGTCCGCAGCTGTGCTCTCTGAACTAGTGCGATGCTGGTGCACGTCATTTGCACCTCCAGCTTGTTTTGTTCCACAAGAGATGATTCGGCTAGTGAAGTCGCACGGCCACGCTGGTGCGCGGAACAAGCACGGCCGAGAGATGGAGAGGATCAGTTCCACCCGTCCACCAGGTCAACTACGACAAGAGTGCCTGTAAGTTCAAAGGCACGTGAAACTAAGCAAGAATGTATGTTCACACTTTCTCAACGGTCGAGTCGCAGGCTTGGCTGATCTCGGCAACAATGCTACTCAGGATGATGAAACGTACTTGTGTGCCAGCGCTTGTTAAGTACAGTCTTGATATCTTGTCCCGCCACACCCTCAGACCTCACTGCGCGAAAAAACACTAGAGCAAATGCCGCTCCAAAAAGCTTGCATCTGCGGAGCCAGATACCTTTAAGGTGGCTGGCTCGGTAATGCACGTTGATGTTTAAGTATTGAGTGTCAGAAAGGCGGGGCGAAGATGTCCAACGTTACGCTAACCCGGGATTCTCGGACGGAGGAGCGTCTGCTGCACTCTGACGAAGGAGTCGGCCCAAATGAGCAGCTTGAAGTCGTGCTGCAGCCTGCGCAAGATGACTACAGTAGCACATTACGTAGCCGCGACGACCACACGTTGTTTGGATTCGTTGTTGATCTGTCTTGTCGATTGTCTCGGGTACCGTTCGGCTGTTTCATGGGGTTCTGCCTACTGCAAGAAACGTTTCTGCAGCACGGAGCCGAATACAAGATTTATCACGGAAACAATCAACTTCAAAGCTCTTTCCTGCTCCAGGGCTTCTGCAGGGACCATCACGGGCCGGTCTTGAAGTCGGGTCTTGCGCCCGAGATGCGCAGCCTGAATCCTCTGCGCCGCTTGGAGCTCTTTATCGGCCGGGGACTCCTTGGAACCCATGGGCTGGGTTGTTTTGCATGGGCGGTTGTGTTGGGTGCAGTTTGTAAGATGTACACAATTGACCTGGCTGCCGTATGACAGTATCCCAACAGCTGCGTGTCCCTGCGCCGGCTCCTTCATGCTGACTGTATATATCTATACATATATATATATATGTGTGTGTGTGTGTGTACATATTTTTATGTGTATATATGTAACTGTATATACGTATGCATATACATATACATATACATACATATGTAGATATATATATATAGATAGATAGATAGATAGATAGATAGATAGATAGATTTGAATTGTTTGCGTAATTGCTGCAAACCCTGTTGGCACATAAGGAGCCGTGGCAAAGACACAATGAACACTGCAGCTCCCAGAAAGCATCTTGTCATACACAAGTTTGCTGAAGTCCGCCGTAGCTTCAGCAGTTCCGCAGGACACATACTCCTCCAGGGTCATGTCAGCGAACTCCGCAGCCTGGACATCTCCCTGGACCACGGCCTCACAGATCGCCCAGAAGGTTGCCAGCACCATGGATCCACTGTGCTCGCTCTGCTGCAAGTATCCGAGCCAGAGCTTCTCTGCCTGAAGACAAGCGGCACACGGGAGGCAGACAAAAGAACACAAATGTGAATTAAGATGTTTGCGCATGACAACCTCACACATACCCATCTGTCCATTTATCTATCGATCGACCTACATACCTGCCTACCTGCCTGCCTGCCTGCCTACCTACCTAATTACCTACCTAGTAACTAGTCCAGCGAAGCATGACACAGCACAGCAGAGCACAGCACAGCAGAGCACAGCACAGCACAGCACAGCACAGCACAGCACAGCACAGCACAGCACAGCACAGCACAGCACAGCACAGCACAGCACGGCACGGCACAGCACAGCACAGCACAGCACAGCACAGCACAGCACAGCACAGCACAGCACAGCACAGCACAGCACAGCACAGCACAGCACAGCATAGCGTGGCATACTATAGTGCAGTAGAGTGCGGGATATTACAGTCTGCCTACAGGGCCTACAGGAAAACTACCAACCACCAAACGCTGCTCTGCTTTCTTTAGGCCCGAATACTGTAACCTGGCCCCTATCCTTGGGTGGCGTCGATGTCCTAGACCCCAGCGCCAAAGTCTGAAAAAGCCCAAAGCAGATATTTCAAGAACATGTACTAAGAGGGCCTGATGAATCTGTCATAGTACTGTTTGGGGTCCCTAACAAGGCTATAGCCCATTTCTGCTTTTAAGGCCCCTAAACCCCAATCCCACCCAAAGCCGAAAATCCCGTCTAGCACCACCAAAGCCGAAAATCCCTTCTAGCACCCCCATATAGAACCCATAGACATAGAGGAAGCCCACTCTAAGTCTTAACCCTACTCTTAAGGCCAAAATAGTACGAGCTCCTCATGTCTAAGCACTTTCCTCTCCGGGCTTCGGTGCGTAAGTGAAGGCTTTGAGCCTGGACCCTGAAACCCTAAACCCTAAACCCTAAACCCGAAACCCCTAAACCCTAAACCCTAAACCGTCTGGCTTCCCAAACTAGGGCTTAGGGGCTTCAGGACTTCAGGGTTCAGGGTTTACTTGGGTTTAGGGTTTAGGATCTAGGTGGATTTAGGGCTTAGTGTGTTAGATGGATTTAGGGTTCAGTGATTTAGGGATTTGGGGGTTTAGGGATTAGTTGAGTTTAGGGATTTTGGGGTTTGGAGTTTAGATGGGGATTCATGGGTTTAGGGATTTATGCAAGATGTCGAGCTTAGATGGGTTCAGGGACTCAGGGAATTGGGGATTTAGGGGTTTAGGGGTTTAGGGATTTAGATGGGTATGGAGATTTAGGGATTGAGAGGTTTAGCCAAAGGGGCGCTGCGGTTTGGGGTTCAGGGTCTATACGGGTTGTGCTTGAGAGCATATCAAGTGTCAAGGCATTGGAGCTACATTTTGAACGACCTAAACCCTAAACCCTAAACCCAAAAACCTAAACCCTAAACCCTAATCCCGAGACCCTAAACCGTGATAGGATATCAGTTTTAAGATTCCGAAACTCGATTTTGCTTTCCTGGGGAGAAGCTGATACGCTGCAGTACATCTTACACGCCTGCGCCCAAGCACCCTCATCTCTTGGACCCTGAGTGATTCTGACCAACCGGTGGGTTCAGGGTTTAGGGGTTTAGGGTTTAGGGGTTGAGGGTTTAGGGTTTAGGGTTTAGGGTTTAGGGTTTTGGGTTTAGGGTGGACTGTGGTGCTTGAAAAGCAGCCCCTCTCAGCTGAGCCCCAGCCACGAACAGGACGCGCCCTGGGGGTTTCAGGGACTTTTGAAGCGCTTGAGACTTAATTACTATATGAGCCTGAATCATTACCAATGTTACTGTTAGGGTTCCTGGTTATAAATATACTATAGCGGGCCCCAAAACCTTATTCTAATCATTAAGGCCCCTACATTAGTTGTTGTCTTTTCGGCTAGTTCTGGTCTTGTTTGTTTTGGGGTCCGGCTTTGGGGTTCCAAGTTGTAGGGTTTTAGGGTTTAGGGTTTAGGGGTTTAGGGTTTAGGGTTTTAGGGTTTAGGGGTTTAGGGTTTAGGGGTTTAGGGTTTAGGGTTCTGCAGCCCATTGTTGGACACCCTCAGGGCTGGGTTTACGAAGTGCTAGTATGAGGAATTGCGTGAAACCCTCAAACCCAACACCTTCAAAGAACAGAAGCAAGGACGCGCAGACGGCCTGATTTTGTGTCCTAGACCCTGAGCCCTAAAAGCCCAAAGTTCAAACTCCTCGAACCCCAAACCCCAAACCCTAAAGCCATGCCTAGACACCCTAGAAGCCTAAACCCTAAACTCTAAACCCCATGAGACAAGCCAAGGATGTTCTTCTCCGACATCGCCTCCTTTACCACGATTGTGGAGAAGCTGCCTCCGGACTCGCCTTTTTAGCGCTGGGGGGTTCCTTAGAAAGGCGTTCTTCAAAGGGTTCCTTCAGGTGGGGGGTTAGGGGTTACGGTTTAGGGTTTAGGGTTTAGGGTTTAGGTTTTAGGGTTTAGGGCTCCTTGAAGGCGTTCTTCAAAGGGTTCCTTCAGGTGGGGGTTAGGAGTTACGGTTTAGGGTTTAGGGTTTAGGGCTCCTTAAAAAGGCGTTGTTCAAAGGCTTCCTTAAGGTGGGGCTTTCATCTGAAGACTCTGTGCAGATTTTTTGTTTGTTTCGGGTGGCGTTTTGGGGCCTCGTCCCGGAACTCTCGACTAGGCCCGGCATGCTTGAATAGGATTGCCGGCTGCTCGACCCTGTGTGGGTTTAGGGTTTAGGAAGTTTAGGGTGTAGGGTTTAGGGTTTACGGTTTAGGGTTATCCTGGGGCTCTAAGGATTAATCCTTCGCCAGCATGGTGTAAATCCCTTCTGAACCCTCTACGGCGGCCTTATAACACCGTTATCTATCCCAAATAAAACCCTGGTAGACATGTTATGAACCGCAAGCCCTCAACCCTAAACTCCTAACCTTAACAACCTTAGACCCCAAATCCCAAACCCTAAAACCCTAAACCCTGAACCCCCAAACCCAAACCCATACACCCTAAACACTTGAATCCTAAACCCTAAGACCCTAAACCCTAACCCATAAACCTAAACCCTTAAATCCTAAACCCTAAAATAACCCTAACCCATATATCCTCAACCCTTAAATGCTAAACCCTAACCCATATGTCCTAAACCCTTAAATCCTGAGCCCTAAAATCCTAAACCCTAACCCATATATCCAAACCCTTAAATCCTAAACCTTAACCCATATATCCTAAACAACCCTTAAATGCTAAACCCTAACCCATATATCCTCAACCCTTAAATGCTAAACCCTAAAATTCCCTAAGAAAAATTCCGGGCCAGGAGCGATCCTTGGTCCTCCTGAGCCGCTACTTCAACGACATGTCGCAGGCCAGCTTGCAGCAGAAAGGGGTCCCCCCAAGTATCCCAAGAAGGGGTTTAGGGTTTAGGGTTTAGGGTTTAGGTGGGTTCTATACTGCGTGGCTTGTTTTAGGGTCTTTTTGAGACGCTTCTTCAATGAGGGATTTTGGAGTCTTTGGGCATGTGTTGGGCAAGACAGGACTATACAAGTGGATCTAACTGCGCAGGCCTCTTGGGGAGGCGGAGGAGTTACATGAGGGCTTGCGCCCCAAGTAATTCTACTATGCTGCAGTACATAACAGTGTCTTATAGAACCCTATCCATATAGTTCCTAAACCCTAAACCCTAAAGCCTAACCCCTAAACCCTAAACCCTTATCGTATAGTATACTAGATAGCACATCATAAGGAGCCCCTCTGCATCTCGAGCCCGAGCCAGGTTATCGACAGCCATGGCGGCATCGTGATTGCCGCTCGGTATCACATTAGGGTTTAAGGTTTAGGGTTTAGGGTTTAGGGTATCAGCAGCCACTGGCAAGACTTGCCAACCTACCCAAAAGGACATGGAGTCTTTGGGTATACCTGAACACCTTTTGTTGAATCCAACTTAACTTGTACCCCCAGGTAGAATCCAACGATAGACCCGGACTGTAAGCCTCAATTCCTAGAGTGTAGACTAACAGGAGTTGTCATCGTCTGCTTATTCAACAGTCAATCCCAAACCCCCAAAAGGATCTAAAAAATAGATCCCCTAAGGGGATTCCTATAAAGTACACGGTAGTAGTTAGGGTCCCTAATTAGGGGATCTATTTTTAGATCCTTTTGGGGGTCTGGACAGACCCTAAACCCTAAACCCTAAACCCTAAACCCTAAACCCGGTTATTGAACAGTCAATGGGGCCTTGTCTTTCATGTTCTGGAGAGCCGGAGCTGCCGTTTTGACTTTTCGGGTTAGGGATTGACTTGGCGCTAAGCCATATAGCCTGAACCTAAACCCTAAACCCTAAACCCTAAACCCTAAACCCTAAACCCTAAACCCTAAAGCCCTAAACCCTGAACCCTCAAGCGGTTTGCGGCTTGGGTTCTGCAGTTGAAGGCGGACGTGCAGACTTGAGGGAGCCTTGGGGCGTCGAATAATTCCGAAACCCATAACTAAGCCTGAAACCCCCATGCCCTAAACCTACCCTAAACCCTAAACCCTAAACCCTAAACCCTAAACCCTAAACCCTAAACCCTAAACCCTAAACCCTAAATCCTAACCCTAAACCACCTAATTGAGCCTTACACCCCTCGAAGCCAAGCCTATGCCCTGGAATCCGTGAACCCGCTACAAGAGGAGACCATGACCTGAGGAGTTCATTGGCGATGCCATTCTCTCCGTCTTCGGTGCTCCCTTGCGGAATCCGCAGCACGCCGAGGCGTCTTGAGAAACGGCCACCCTGAATTTTGAGGGTTCTTGGATTGAATCTACAAGCCTGAATACTTAGTGCCGTGGTTCTTGTCCGTCTTGCCATATCACTATTGCTTATCATGCTTGTGATGGTCAGTCTCACGAATACCTCGTTCTGCAAATATGAAAACCCTAAACCCCCTCGTTCTGCAAATATGAATGTTACTTTCGTTCAGGGTTGCCCTGGCTGAAGGCCTGCGTGAAAGCCACCTGGAGAATGCTGAAGGCGGGACCTGTGGGTGAAGGGTATAGGGATGTGTATTTAGGGTTTAGGGTTTAGGGTATAGGGATGTGTAGGGTTTATCAGCATTGGGGGCCCCTAGACCCTAAACCCTGAGCCCTACAAGCCCTAAAGCGAAACTTTAAACCACCAAGCTGACAAAGTCTGCCTAGAGGGTTCTTTTTTCGGGGCTTGAGTTGTCTTCCAACACCTGAAGGTGTCGAGACGGATTTTGAGATCCGAAACCCTCTCAACCCTTAACCCTAAACCCTCTAAGCCCTAAGCCCTGAACCCTTTAAACTCAAATTGCACCCTGAACCTTCAACAGTTTTGTAGTGTCAGTGTCACGCTACACTGTGAGACATTTCGTGGGTTTGAGTGTGCATATCAGAGTATCAGACCCCTCCCGCAGACACCAAGCCCAACAGCTTACTGTAACTTACTTCTCACAGCCCGTGCTGTGGTCGGAGGAGAGCAGTGTCACCAAGGTTTCTCTGAGAGGACAACGCGTGAAGCACGATCGCTGCAGATCCATTTTCCTAAGGGTCCAAGTGCCCATTATTTAAGGACTTTGGGGCCTACTTGGGTACTTAAAACCATTAATAAGGACTACTTGGACCCTTAGGGTATCAGATGCAAGAGCACCCACGCCTGAGATGCCCCTGCCTTAAGTTGCAAACTCATCGCTCTATTCCCAAACCGCAAAACCGGAGCCCTGCAAACCTCAGCCCTAAGTGCGGAAGGATTCATCGAAACGGGGGTTCCATTAGGGTTTAGGGTTTAGGGTTTAGGGTTCCGTGCTTCAGACTCCATACGCTGCAGCTGTAGTTTGTCTTTCGGGCCTTCTGGGGCCACTTCAAGCAGTATCTGCCAAAACTCCCCTAAACCCTAAACCCTAAACCCTAAACCTCTGTTGGCAGTCCTTGGATCGTATCAATGCCTGGGCCAAGAATCGCGAGCTGCCGCTCGTCGGTAGAAGATGCCTAGATTCGAATTTGCGGGCGTAGGGTGTAGGTAACGTCACGCAGGATTCAGATTCTGGGTTAGGGCCTATGGCTATGAGTGTCGGGTTTGGGTATTTCAGTGTGTGAGGCCTAGGGTTGCGGGTTTGGGGCTTAAGGTTAACAGTTTGGGATGATTATGCGCTTTAGGTACTTAGAGAGTTAAGGGATGTAGAGGGCTTATTCTTTTTGCGTAGAGGCCCAGGGTTTAAATTCGAGGGATGTGGGGTGCAATGGCACATAAGCCTTTGGAGCCATAGTAAGAGTCTCCTAACTTTATACTCTAAAACCCCTGAAGCCAGAAACACGGCGCCTAAACACCCTTTTAGCGAGAAATCAATGTCCTAAACCCAAACCCTAAACCCTAAACCCTAAACCCTACACCCTAAACCCTAAACCCTAAACCCTAAACCCTAAGGGATCTAGATGCTTCGAGGTGGCTTTGGCGTTGCAGGATGAACCTCGGAAGCCGAACGCCAACAGCGGAAAATCCTGAGAACTCGGAGCATCGATGGTGAATGAGGGTTTAGGGTTTAGGGTTTAGGGGTTTAGGGTTTAGGGTTCAGGGTTTAGGGTTTACCTTAACCTACCAAAACCCACTTTGTTGTAGGTTATTATTATAAACCCTGATATGGGATTTATAGGGACCCTACAAAAAAGTAGGTTCTGGTGGGTTAAGGTAGGGTTTAAGTCTCACCAGATGCATGCAAGGTAGGCTTTGGCCTTGGGTCAGCAGGTGAGGAAGAAATGCGAACACCTCGGAACGCAGCTCGACTCGGACTTTCCAGCCCACTGCTTTTAAACACTTGGGGCTTCATATGCTGTACAAATCCTCAAAGCTTCCAATTCGTATTGCCCAAATTGGAAAGCGAGAGAGAGAGGGAGAGAGAGAGAGATATCTGCGAAATAGCGCAGGTTCTAGGTTTCCATTCCGCAGTTAAAGGCACCCCTTATATAACTATTCACACTATCGGGGGGTCTTTCTAATGGTATGATTTAGGGTCTAGGGTTGTGAATGCCGATCCTAGACCGTATACCCGAGAACCTTTGAACCCTGACCCGCATATGAACCCAACCCACTCCTTTAAATGCATCTCCTACACCCTAAACCCTAAACCCTAAACCCTAAACCCTAAACCCTAAACCCTAAACCCTAAACCCTAAACCCTAAACCCTAAAACCCCAAACCCTAGGCCCTCTAAACCCTGAGCTGTAAACCTTAAATCCTCAAGCTTAGAACTTGAACCCTGAACCCGAAGCCTCAAGCCGCAGCTCAGGCCCCACATCGGCATCCGCTGTGGTGTGCACACCGGCGAGGCCGCAGCCCTGGTCCTGCGAAGCTCAGAAAGCCCTGTCCCGCAAAACTATACTAATACAAGTATACGAAAACTATCTTCTCATCATGACGGCTCCTACATCACCCACGAGCAGAACCCTACAGTGATATTGTCAGTGGCTCTCCGCTCCGGGGCTCTAATCGTGGGTTCAGGTGCAATCTGTTGAGTGACGCTGAACCTTAAGCACTATTCTAACTTGCGTAAACCTCGCGGCCTAAATTCTTCAGCCGTATGCTAAGATCTAGACTCTAAGCGACTCTAAGCCCCTCTAAGCCCCTCTAAGCCCCT